GCTATCTAGTGGCCTTCGGCCCATCTCGTCACCGTGCCTGGGTTGTGGGTTAGAGGCCTCTTGGATGTTCGTTTGGACGTCTGGGGAGGCCTCTTGGGGCCCTCGTGGAGGCAGTTTTGAGGCCTCTTGGGGGCCGTTTTGGGGCCTCTCGGGGGGCCTCGTGGGGCCTCTAGAGGGCCTCTTGGGCTCTCTTGGGGGCCCCTTGGGTCCTCCTGGGGGCCTCTAGGGGCGACAGGCTCGAATTGTCGGTTCGTGTTCTCCCTCTTTGGCCCCCCCTGGGGCCGTCTTGGGGCCCTCTTGGGCGATCTTGGGCGCCTCTTGGGCCGTTTTGGGGCCCTCCTGGCCTCTTGGACCGTCTTGGGGCCCTCTGGGGGGCCTCTTGGGCCGTCTGGGAGCGGTCTTGGGGGCCTCTGGGGCCATCTTGGAGCGCCGGAAGCCCGAACACGCGAGAGCGCGAAAAACAGAGAACAACACAAGGCAAATCAATGATTTTTGCCAATCTGGGCACTCATGGGGGTCCTCTTGGAGTGCTCTTCCGTCTTGGGGCCGTCTTGGGCGTCTCGGGGCGGTCTAGGGCGGTCTTGGAGGCCTCCTGGACCCTCTGGGGCGCTCTCTGGGGCCTTGCCGGCCCGTCCTGGGGCGCTCCGGCATCTGCAAAAGGGCATGCGGGGCAGCCCCCGAGCGCGCGGGAACTCCCCGGAAAGGTGTGATTTCGGGGCCCCGTTGGGCGTTGCGTAATGGGGGGGTCATAAATGGGGGGGTCAAAAAGGTCCCCTTTCGTGCCCCTTTCGGGCCCCTCTGGAGCCTCAAGGGGCTCGTTTAGGTACCGTTTGGGTACCTTTTCGGACCACCCTCGCCACCCTCGCCACCCCGAAACGGGACCACCCTCGCCTCCGGGGGTGGCGAGGGTGGTCCGAAAAGGTACCAAACGGTACCTAAACGAGCCCCTTGAGGGCTCCAGAGGGGCCGAGAGGGGCACGAAAGGGGACCGTTTTTGACCCCCCCATTTTTGACCCCCCCATTAAGCATACGCCAACCCCCCAGCCTTCAGAATGTTAGAATCCCAGTCCCAGCAGAGTACAGAGAACCGAGGACACAGGAGGACCCTGAGAAAACTCCACTTCGCGCCTCGCGGCACGGTGGCGGACAACTCGCGTAGCACCACTCGCCAGGATGCCCGCCATGCTCGCTCATCTCGCCCCCCGGAACTGCATCGGGGGATGAGATAAACGAGAAATGCAACACGGGGGAACCTGAGCCTCCTGTGGTGTGAGGTCTTCGTTCTGAAGAGACAGTGCCCCTCGTCCTCTTTTTCTCTCCTCTATCTCCCCCTCCCCTCCTCTCCCCTCTGCCCTCCCCCATGCCTCTCCTCCCTCCTCCTCTCTCCTCCTCCTCCTCCTCCTCCTCCTCCTCCTCCTCCTCCTCCTCCTCCTCCTCCTCTCCTCCTCCTCCTCTCCTCCTCCTCCTCCTCCTCACTCCTCCTCCTCTCCTCCTCCTCCTTCCTCCTCCTCCTCCTCCTCCTCCCTGTCCTCCTCCTCCTCCTCCCTGTCCTCCTCCTCCTCCCTCCTCCCTCCTCCGTCCCCCGCACCTCCGCGAAGCCGTCTCGGACGGCGAGCTCCGCGGAGCCGCAGGACACACCGGCGCGGCCCGCCCGCGCCGGCGGGCGAAGGGGGGCGAAGCGGGAGAGGGGGCAGGACATGATAAGGGGCGATTGTCAGGAGGGAAAGAAACACACAGACACAATTAATCGTCGATCCCCAGGAAAATATGCGAAAATATGGGAAGTGGTGGGGAAGACAAAAACCCAGAAAATATGGGAAAATAGGGGGGATATTTTTATTTGTGTGTATTTATTTGTGTGTTCCAGTTCCCCTTCAGATTGGGCAGGCACGCAGTGCACCGCTGCACGTTCCTCCGACCGCCACCGGAACGACACCACGAAAAGAAGCCACAGAACGAGCGAAAGCGATCCCGATCCCCCCCACATCCAGCTGAAGACCCTGATTATTATCCAATGTTACCTCCTTCTGGCGCACACGTGGCTCTTCGGCGCGCTCCCGGGCAGAAAGCGCCCGGAAGGGGTCATCGAATACCCGTCCGGCGGCACTCGGGCCGATAAGAACATCCACCCGCTAATAGTTGCCCACTGCAGCTGCGAGCTAGCGATGGAGACCAGCCTGCACAAGAGTGTTTGCAACGGGGGTGGGGTGGGGGTCAGCAGCATCAGCAAAATGCCTGTCGAGCACGATGGGAATTCTCCTTGCCTCGCGATCTCTTGCTCTCCTCCGGGCGAGAGCCTTGGCTGCAGTCCAGGATCTCAGGGGAGAGCGGGCTAGGAGCAGGGGCGTGAGGAGCAGCAAGGGTGAAAGAGGGAAACGCCGAATACGAGTGCGACCTTCCCTGCTGAGTGAAATCTGGATTCTGTTGCTTATCGATAGACATAGCATGTCGCTGTTTCTATGACATGTGGGCGACATGCCTTACATACGGAATAAGCAATCAAGACGGTCTCCAGGACAACACGTGCCGCAACAACAGGCTGCGCGACGAGCAGCTCACGAGCAACACTTAAGGCACACCTCGCACCATGCATTAGGCGCGCGATACTTGGCAAGCTCAATATACGAGGACTACTTGGTAGGTCTATTAGCATCAAGTGTTCTGAATCTTTCGAAGGTCGCTGACCAAAACTGGCAGCTCAAGTGGTTCTGGTCAGGGGGGTTGAGGGAGATCCTTTCCCTCTGGCAAACTTGCGGCAGTCACAGCGCTAAGAACTTTAATCTCCCAAGCGCGCGCCTTGACGCTCCTTTTTTCGAGCGATCAACCGATGCGTTGTGGGCCTCCTTGGGCGACCCCTTCCAAGCCGACAGGGACCTCAAACCTCATCGCCCCGAGGCTTCGGCTCCGAGCTGGGCGGCGGACACTCTGCACACGTGGGATGGCAGATCCAGGGCCAACCCACGCCTCCGAGAACTCCAGGCACGCGCCTCCGCCGCCGCCAGGCACGCGGCCAGCGCCCCGCGCAGGCCCGGGTCGGCCTCGTCCAGGAAGGTCGGCGGCGACGATGGGGGGCGAACAGCACAGGAGGAGGCGGAGGAGGAGGAGGCGGAGGAGGAGGATGAGGAGGAGGAGGAGGCGGCCCTCCGGCCTCGCCGGGCGCCCTCGCAGGAGGAGGAGGAGGAGGAGGAGGAGGTCCCCGTGGCCCTGCAGCCCGCTTGTCTTGGCACCTCGGAGCTCCCCTTTGCAACGAGGCGCGCGCAACGGCACCGGACCGTCGTGCGGCACCCGGCGCTGGGAGAGCTCTCGGCGAGGCGCGCGCGCCGGGAGGGAGGAGGCCGGCGGTCGCTCTGCTGCCGCCGGGGTTGCCTCCTCCGTGGCCCGGCGTTTTTCAAGACGGGGCGTCCTGAAGGGAACATCTGGACGCCCGACATGGGCACGGAAAGAATATGGGTACAATGCCCAACAGCAGTTCCTGTTCATTTTGAACAGGACTCGCTCTCCACGCCGCCGCGGCCTGTGTTCATTTGAGACAGAAGGCCGCCTGCCCAACAGCGGCCGCTGTTGGTTCAAAACGGGGCGTCCTGAAGGGAACAGCCTATATTCGGGGGTGGACAGCACCCCCAACAGGGACACGTCGATGAGTGAATTGTCCGTTTTCGGTCCTCGAGAGGGCGCCGCGGCCGTTCCTTTCCAGGCTTGCGCCCGCCAGGTTTGGGCCCGAGGTCGTTTTCACTGAACCGCGTTTTACTAAAGGGAGGTCTGTCCATCCCCGAGATATCTTCAAGTCGGAAACTGGAGCATGTACAACTTTTGAGGGCCAGGGACGACGTCGGGGTGGTGTGGTGTATAGTTGTTTCCCCGTTTTCCGGGGGAGATGACGCAAATGTGTACACCAGCATCCCGTATACACCAGGATCCGCTTGTGCAGGGCCAGAAAAAGCGTCGGTGTATAGAGCTCGGTTCCCTATCAAGGTTTTCTCCGAACGCCGCCACACACGCCCGTGCCGATCCACAGCGTGATGGGAGTGCCCATGCCGCCCGCCATTTCGTAGGGCAGTCGTGTTAGACGTGGGCCACAGTGGGTACTCATACCAACGTGCCAGTACGTCGCTCTGTATACGCCCACCACGACGTGTGCCAATGAACCAGGGCTGGACCTAAACGGTATTTTGGCGATTTCGTGGGCCGTTTTCGATTCGACTTCGTTTTGCGGTAATGGCGGATTGAAGTCAAAACGAGTGACAACGAAAACAAAACGAAACGAAAAACACCGTTTAGGTTCAGCTCTGTAATGAACCATGCAGTGTCGAAGAGAGCGTGGTACATCACACTGTGTGTTGAGACCGCATGGCGACCATAACCAATGTTACCCAACCGTGCAGACATTCGCCGACCACCCCCAAACGAGGCCAAAGCAGGGCCACACCATGCAATTTTTGAGGACGTTTCGTGTGGAACCAGGCCAAACCAGGCCAAACCATGGGCCAGACGAGGCAGATTATGAGGACGTACCAGGTAGAGTCGCCCAAAGCAGGCTCCGTCCGTTCTCCTTGAAAACCTGCTAATGAAAGGAGTGGCTCTCCCCAGGCCCCCCCCCGCAATCGGAAACCGGTTTGGAACTTTACGGGGGGGGAGGGGCGTCTGGACCGCGCGCCCGCTGATGCGGACGGGGTGGCGCAGCCGTCCGCCCTGTTTTTGTCGGGTGTTGCTGGGGCTCGCGTGTGGCGATCGGAGGCAGAATTAGAGCTCGTGTAGGGGTACACCTTAGGCGATGCTTAAGAAAACTTAAATTTTCGGCCAGAGTCTCGATTATTCTTAATGTTTCAATGTAAGTCCTAAGATTAGAATGGAAATGTTGGGTTTTTTTATTCAAGTTCTGAGACTATGAATTTCTTAACCCATGATTTCTTAAGCATTTCGCAGGGTGTAGATCGGCCAGTCAATGCGGAGGCCACGCCCGTGGGCGTAGGTTGCTCTGGAGCCACGGCGCCCCCGCCGAGCCGCCCCTTAGGCCGGGAGATCGCCGCCAGCCGCTGCGACGAGCTGGGCGCGGCCTGCCTGGCGGCGGTCGACGCGAGCGTGAGGGCCCAGG